GCTTCTGCGGTTTAGCCCGCAGCACCACCAAGTACCATATAGCAAAGGGGTACTGTAGCCAGAAGAGTATTCTAGCTAGTATTTGTTGTGATGGTTATTATTTTACAAGCAGTATTTTGCCCTTGAAGAGTTTATAATTGAGCAAGAGCCTCTGAAACAAAATTTAAATGCTCTTTCTTAAATATTTGCAAAATTATTTAAAGTTGGGTGTTGCACTATTGGACTTAAGACACCATGGGCAACATCTTACTGGTTATTTACATATTTACAAGTGCGATAGCATACATTGCAGAGACAAATTGCAGCTAGTTAATGGTATTCCATGTAGTGTGCCACGTCTTGCAGTTGATTACAAGAAATACAACTGGTGACTTCTTAACCAGCAGCAATTTGCCCCTGCGGTTTATCTCATTTCACTTAAACTGACATAAACAACCTATAGAATTCTGACATATAAATGTTTGCAGGGAAGGGGGAGACAGCAAAGTAGCAACTTGCTTGGGTCCCTCTTACTTAACATCAAATAGACAATTTTCTCAGTTTCTTTTCCAAGGGCAGAGAGAAGTTGATATGCTGAGCAATTTATTAGCATTTGGCTCTCAAAAAGTAGAGAGGTAGGTTCTTTGGTGAGATTCGCCTTTAGCTTGGCTATCAGCATCTACATCTCAAAGATGGGCAACTTTTGAACCTCCCGATAGTATTGAAGATAACCTCCATCATCCATGACCACTCACTACCCTGGCCAGATCTAACAGGACTTACGATCTACAATGTGGAGGGACACAAATTGCTGTGAGGTGCTGCACCCCCTGAGATACAAAGCCCTCAGAGAACTGCTATGCGACACACTTTCCTTGACACTTCTTTTGGGTCTGGCAAGCTGACAGGTATCTGGAACTTGATGCCATTTCATTCTAGTTCCTTTCTGGCAAACAACCCCTGTATTTAGTCTCACCTTGCCTGAAGCAGTTGCTTTTAATATCCTCATGTAAGTGCATCTCACTCTCTCAGCCTAGAAAATACAACAGGGAAATCTGAATGGACAGCACATTCCTTGCTGTGACCCTCCAGACAATGTCTGTCAGTTTGTTCTGGGCGTTCTGAATGTTGCCAAGACTGGAGTGGTGATATCCCTTCAGTGACATCTCAGGGTGACACCAATGCTCCCCTACAGTAATAACGGGATTTAATGTGTCTTTGCTAGCTACAGGACCCTGACACAGCCATTTACTTCTCTAGCTCATGGATGTACAGTTCCTGACACAGAAGTAGGACCCAAAGAAGGAGGGTGGTGGTTTTTTTTGTAAAAAGACTTTTATTGGAAAAAAGGGAGGGGGGATTGTAAAAAGCAGGAGAGGGCTTACCCAGCACCAGAAAAGGGAAGGCCACAGCGTCCCAGCAAGAATATAGATAAGGAGAAATGAAGATGTAATTATTGAAAAAGAAACAATGCTCTGGGGAAATTCTTTCCTGGGCACTGACGAGGATGCAAGGCATGGCTTGTTAGCAAAATACCAAACAAACACAAGTCATACAGATTAAACAGACAGACAGACAGACACACCCCTCCTCAGATGAAGAGTCTGCTGAAAAACACGTAGGTAACGGAGATATGGGGAGCAAAAAAAGTGAACGCACACATGCACGCACACACATACACAAAGAGCACCATGGGAAATAGGCACCGATTTTTGTCCCCTACAAAGAGGGGGCGGGGGGGAGGGTGCAGAAAGACACCAAAGCGAGTCAGCATCTTGCTGTTTCTGCAACAGAGGGGCTCTTCGCCCGATGTTTCCATTGCAACTCCTCCCCATCCTATTCTATTCCCTGAAACGTTGCCCTTGGCTAGCTTAGTTTAGCTCTTTGTCTACAGGAAAGCAAAGTTGAACAGGGAAGTCAGAGGCGTTGTTAAAGTTCAAAGAGATGTGCCGAAAGGCCATTTGAGCTTGACAGCAGATCCCAAAGGTGAAGAGTTCTAGCCACAGCTTAGCCTAGTCTCACCCCATCTCAAAGCACATCAGACCAAATTCTGGGAAAGGAGCCAGAGCAAAGAATGGGGTGGAGGGAGAGATTGCATATGCACAACAGGGGTGGGGAGGGAAAGGTAGGAAAAGTTAAGGAGAAGGCAAACAGCACCTTCTTCAGGACAGGGCTTGCTCTCTGCAAAACTACTGATTAGAAACGGCATTTCAGTTAAGGTCAAAGTCATGGAGGTGGAAGAATAGCAGGATTTGGCAAAGCATCGCCAAGCTGGGAGGGGCCACGCTGCAGCTCCAAGTGGTGTGTGTCCAAGTGGGTTCAGGCACCATGCCCTGAAGACGGTGGGGCTTCCTCCATCCTTCTAGTCCTTTCCCTTTCCTTTTCTGGCTGTTTGGAACAATAAAAGTGGAAGAGCATTAGTGGTTGACATGTATACATTGTCTCTAACTGACTTGCTTTGACTCTTTTAGGATTGCTTTCACCCGCTTTCTCAAAGGTGCCAGCAGAGCACTGGTTTCCGGAGCCACACAGGGGCTGCATCAAAAACTTGGAAACAACATGTTAAAAGAAGACCCGTTACTCATTACTGCTGTGAGCTTTTATGGCTATGACCTTTTTCCTCAGGAAGAAGGGAGACTACAATCCATGAAAACTCAAACTGAAATAAATCTGTTCATCTTTAAGGCAAAGAGCTCTACTTCTTTTTCAGGCTAGACCAATAGTTGTTGATACAAAGCTCCAGCAATCCCCATAACTGCCTGTGAGGCTCTCCTCTCCTCCTCCTTATCCACTGACTTTCTCGCTCTTTTCGTAGGCAACTTATCTCTTCTCACCAGGAGCTCTCCATTAGCTGAGAACTTGGAAAAATTACTTGTTATATGCAGATTCCTGCAATCTGCCCAGTCATAACAGCCAGGTATTTTGGGAGCTATAGTCCTAAAATAGAAGAAACCCCTCTAACCCCTGCCATAGCTCTGTCTCACTACCTGCTTTAGTGGATGGCCACCATAATACAGGAGGAGGCTTCTGAAGTGGACATGGGTCAGGGAATTCAGCCGTCTCATAGTTCCCAAATGGGGTGGGGGATGGCGGAGTGGTAAGACCATCCTATGGTGGTGGTGGTAGGGGCAGCAGCTTCAAATGGCAAACCGCTTGACCACTGTGGGAGGGCAGAAGAGGACTTCGCTTCCCACAGCCCAGGAAAGGCCTCCAAGCAGCCTTCGTCATGGGTGTCTGTAGTTAATTTGGCACCCATTTGAAAAACCTAGAAACATTTCTAGGCTTTATGGGGTGCAATGTTTTTGGTATTGATGGTAGTCAATATAACAAAAAGGGGAGGAAGAAGAGTCCTGATGAATGTTAATTCTTCCCCACCTTGCTGTGGAGCTTCAGTCAGACCTAATAAAGGTATTGCACCAGAGCTGAGGATGTCAGAGCTGAGGATTCAGATGTTGTTGACCTCCATTTCTCATTAGTGCTAGCCAGTCTGACCACAGGTGAGGTCAGTGATGTCAGGGTAAATCTGGAAATGCTGGTGGTCATCATGACAGTCCACCTAGCCAGCCTCCAGCTATTAAGCAGAATTTTTAAAATTTAAAATATTTGTGTCAGCTCCTGTTGACAAAATGTGGAGCAGGTATTTTGTAAAGTTAATGGCTTTTGATTCTCTACTCAAGATGAAACTACAGTGGTGCCTCACATAGCGATCACTCTGTATAGCGATGAAATAGCTTTGCGACACATTTTTTGCTATCACAAAAGTGATTGCTTTGCGACGGTCCCTATGGGGTATTTTCGCTTTGCAATGATCGCAGGGAAGCGATCATCGCAAAGCTCCCATTTTCGCACAGCTGATCGGCAGTTTCAAAATGGCTGTCGGGTAAACAAAATGGCCGCCCGCTGTTTTCAGGCACGGATTCCTCGCTTTAGAGGCACCGAAAATGGTGGCGCTATGGAGGATCTTCCCTCGGTGGTGAGTTTTAAGCCCATAGGAACGCATTAATCGTGTTTTAATGTGTTTCTATGGGCTTTTTTATTTGGCTTAGCGATGTTATTGCTTAGCAGCGATATTTTTGGCATGAATTAACATTGCTAAGCGAGGCACCACTTTACCTGCAAACACTTTGTATTACAACAAGGATAGCTTGATGCAATATACTATTCCTAGGAAAATCCATTTCTGCCTGAGCTATCAAGAGGACTGCAGCTAAGCCCAGAGAAGCCTGAGCCAGGATGGGGTGTGTTTGTGTGTGGCAGATTCTATCATAGTTCCTGCTACTCAGACAGGCCTGGGGCTTTAAACTATAACCTATGGCTCCATTGGCTGAGATCTGACAGGAGTTCAATTCATCAACATCTGGAGGGCAAGGTTCCACACCTCTCAATCACACCATTGTTGGTTTGGGATTATCATTGCCTCTGGAAATTCTTCCCGAACATTCCTGACAGTGTAAGTAATTGAAATTAAAGCTTGGGAAAGTTATCCTTTTTTTGCACTATGAACTGTCAGAATCCCTTAGCGAACATGAACAGAAGCCAAAGACCTTACTGGTTGTGGGGGGGAGGAACTCTGGCAGCTGAAGTCCAAACAAACAAACATGCAAGCAAGCAAGCAAACACATCCTTTCCTAAGCTCTGACTTACATACATACACACACACACACACACACAAACAAAATTAGCCTCTTCCTATTATTAGGAAGTCACAGCAATACAATATGAGATAAGAAGAAAGGAAAGGTAGAGGCTCCTGCATTTTACCCACTCCAGACATTTTTAAAGCCTAAGATAGATCTAAATAGGAATTTATTTGGCTGAGTGTCAGAATGTCTTCTCTGACAGTTCCACCATGTGCAAATCATTGCTGCCAGAGCAATATACTTATGTAAGTTGCGTAATGGCATAGCCAGAAAACTAACTGCATTGGTGGTCTGGACGACAGCGGGAATTCCACCGCCCCCGCCCCCAGTTCATGAAAGGTGTGCTACAATCTTTCAGGTGTTCATGGCTCAAATGTAGTGCTGAAAAATCCATGCTCCTAATGAATGCCATAACCTATGGCTTAGCTTTGAAAGCTCTGCTTCAAAATGGACCAGAACTCTGCAGACAAAATGATGTCCTTAAGAATCACAAAGGACAGTCATGACAGGTGAGATGGACTCTTGTGTGGGCCATCCTTAACCCTTTACTTTCTCCCGGGAGGATCATTCATAGTTTTCTTGTACTACCCCAGTTACTTTCTGGGATGGCAGTTCCCAGACACCGCAGATGCCATGACCACTGTTCATGCTTGGCAGGAGATGGTGGGAGTTGCCATCCAAAAAGTAATTTTCTCAGACTATGTACCAAGAGCAATAGGAAAGAAACCTTTAAGGCAGACAAAGGACTTCTAAAAACTGGGACGAACCTTTGGATTTTGACTTGGTCTTAGGGGAGCAAGGCTTAGTCACTTGGATAGTTTCCTGGCACTCGGCGTTGTACAGAGCCTTCTTCAGAGTGCCTGAGCGAGCCTTCAGGCCTGTGGCAGAATCACAACCACCCCAGCTCTCAAACTTGTACTTGCAATCAGCTGGAAGAGAAGTTAAAGAGCTATTAGGCCGGTACAGTACCCACAATGAACATTGTTCCTATTTATGAAATATCTACAATCTTAGGAGCATTTACTTTAATTCTACCACATAGCCTTGAATCATGACCATCTAGCCTGCCAGTTAACAGATCAAAAAGTCACTGGGACCTCGGTAGATTTAGATACAGATGAGGTGGAGAGAAGGCAGATCTGGATCTTTTGGTATAGATTTGCACATAACCAGCAAAGATATGTGACTCCCTGTTATTTATCAAAACCATAAAACCACCACCAACAACTGTATTGTAGAAATGAAGAAAGCTTAGGGTAACCAGGAGATCTATGCAGAAAAACCAGGTGCTCTCTTCCATTCTGGCAACTTTATTTATATATATAAATTGAATTTGATATACAACAGGGTCAGTTTGCTCTTTTGCCTTCTGCCGGACTTCCTACGTTCTCTTTTATCACAGTTTCAGCTAGATATACGCTGTGCAGCATGGTTACATTTCACCTCATGTCAGAGAAGCCCTCAGAAGGTGAGTTTGGCTCCCCCCTCTATGCCTTCTGGGATGCATCTCTAGCACTACAGAATTGCAGTCTAAGTACATTTTGCACCAGATTCTGGTTGGCGACCCTTGAAGGTCAGTAAAAAGCAAAGTACATTCCATAGTCTGATCTCACAACTTTCTCCACTCCTGATTTCATGTAGAAAAGCAGACATTTTGTTACGTTAAATAGCAGTGGTTGCATACCACTATTTGCAGTGTACATGGGAGCTTGGAGAACAATTGAATGGCTTAGATCTTCACTGGAAGATCCATTCCCTTTACCTCTTCCTTTCTATACCAGGCTGGTTCTGGTCTCCCCATATCTTGGTCATATTCACTTACAATAAGAAATTTAGATTGTTGCCTGTTTTGGGGAGAGATACGGCAGTCAATGCTAACTTCACAGCCTCCTGCATTTCTTCCATTGGGGAACTGTCCCAGGGCTTACTATTATTCTTAGAACCTGTGTTCGATTGAAGAATAGATGATTATCTGGTGAAGTTGTATTTATCTGTGCATCGAGTCCTTGGACATCATGATCATCATGATCATGATGATGATCATCATGATCATCATGATCATCATGATCATGATCATCATGATCATGATCATCATCATCATTATTATTATTATTATTATTGTTGTTGTTGTTGTTGTTGTTGTTGTTGTTGTAATAATTGCTTTTTTAAACTGTAATTTATTGTACTTTTAGTAATAATAATTGTATTTATACCCCACCTATCTAGTCATTTCAACCACTCTATTTGCTGTCTTAACTGCAATAGGCCCTTGAGCTCCTTCAGCATCTTATATATTTATTTACTGCACTTCTGCCTAGAACCTACTGTCAGAATTCCCCTTGCCTCCAACATGCACACAGAGAGGCTCGCTCGGATGACAACATCAGAGCTCAGCCAGTTCCTTTTTAGACAACAGCTCCCAGAATCCCCTGACCCACACAGTGAATTGCTGGCTTGGTGAATCTGAGAACTACAGTCCAAAATAAGAGAGCAAGCCTTGAAAGCTGTATAGGAAATAAAAAAGCTCTGTTGCATGGTGGCAGAGCATGTTTTGCACACAAAAGGTCTCAGATTCAGTTGCAGCTGTATTATTAGAAACACTTATAACTAAAACACAAACAGACAGAAATGTGTTTGTGTTTTTTTTTACACACATTGCTATGAAATCTAATAAAGTCTAAAAAGTGGGGGAAGAAAAAGCATGTTATGAAATCTCTGAAGTGTTCTGACTAGATAACTTCTGCATCTCACTGTTAATAGAAGTACCACTGGATGAGAACCACTGGCATGGACAACCCCAAGCTATGCAGACCACTAGCCTGACTGTGTAAGCCACCCTTCCTTTGTCTGGAAGTCTCAGAAGAATGACAGCTTCCAGAAACTGTGGCTAAGTATCTTCCTGGAATGCCCCGTTACCTTAGAGGATATGTTTCTACTAGGGAAGCACTGGAGGAAGCAGATTCCTAGATGCAAACTCATTGTAAACCAGGAATGGGTGTGAAACCCTCTAGATGCTGTTGGATTAGCATAGCCAGTGGTGGGGAAGTTTGGAAGTTGCAGCCCAACAGCATCTGAAGGACTGCACTGTGCTGCAAAACAATCTAAAGCAATAGAATGGCTGAAATCCTGAGGCTCTACTTTAAATTGTGTGAGGTTGATGATGTCATAGCCATGGTGATTTTTCAAAAATTAAAACTTTCTTAAACCCTTCCCCCAGAGATTCTAAGGTTTCCTTGTGTGTGTGGTAGAGGGGATTTTAATTTATGAAACTTGCCTCTGGCAGGATTTTACCACCACTGGCAATACGTGGAGATTAAAGACTTCTCCCCCCATAACTTCCAACAGCAAGGGAGCCTCATTAGGTGAGCTAACATTTTTATTTTCTGAACAATTGCCATGGCTGATGATGTCATTAGCCTTATGTGGCATTAGGTCAAGCAACAGGATTTCAGCCACTGAATTAATATAATAAAATATCTACTAACTGCTCGAGACCAATCTAGATAGAGAACAACAAATTCTCTCCAGACATCTGTAAACTTCCCAGCTTCCCAAGGTTCTTTCAAGTTAGCTGAGTTCTATGGTTACCCTCATCATTTTCTTCCTGAAACACATGCATGCTCACCTCCAAATTCCTTCTTCCAGTTACAGGGAATCTTACACTTGAGCTTCTTAGTCTCTTCATTGCAAGTGCCTTCACGGAAGCCGACACCACAATCTTTGCTGTTAGGGACACAGGGGCCCCAGCGCCATTCCTCACAATCTGAGCCATTCTTCTTCACTTTATCTGCAAGAATAAATGGGGAGCAGACAGTCACTGTGACACCAATGGATAGCAAACCCTATTCCATAAAAGAAAAGCCTTTTGCTTATACCGTATACCACCCCTTAGTGCTTAAAGCACTCTGCAGGTGATTTACAATTTTTAATTATGCAGACTACACATCTCCCCCTCCCTCCCTCCTTATGAGCTGGGTACTCAATTTACTGACCCTGGAAGGATGGAAGACTGAGTCAACCTGAACACAGTTACCTCAGCCCAGGATTGAACTCAAGTTGTGAGCAGAGTTTTCCTGCAGTACTGCAGTTTAACCACTGTGCCACGAGGCTCCTTGCCATGAGGCATCAAAAGCAGTCCCTGCTCCCTTCCCTTAATCTACAGGCAACCCTAAATATGGCATAGGAAGACAAGATTTTACACTGATGGGCAACCAGAAGCCTGCCACTCACCTTTTTTATTCTTGCCAGCCTCAGAAGATGCAGCCAGAAGAATCAGAATCAAGAGGAAAAACAGTCCACGGACCTGCATTCTGTCCAAAGAAAGGGAAAGGGGGGAAAGGCATAAAATCCCTGCAGACTATGGGGGGGGGGGAGGTGGGAAGAGAAGGAAATCCAAACAGGGAAACTAATAATCAAGGAAGACCTGGAACCCCAGATATCAAGGTGGGGGGAAATGACTGCACCGTCTCTTTTGAAGCCTGTTTGACAAAGGAACCTGAGAGTAGTTCATGTTGGATACTGGAAAAGACACAGAGACACCTACCATTCTGCATCCAGGAGGGCACAGATTGTTTATAAACAGGCTTCATGATACCAGCACTTTTGCCACTACACTTTTATGCACAAGGATAATGAAGAACAAAAGCAAGAAAGAGGGGTTGACAGCATATAAAGACAAGGAGGAACAAGGCTTAAGAATCTGCAGTATGAGCAGCTCTCCGTGACAGAAACCAATCATTCTTCCCCCACTCCCTGGGGTTTCATCTCTATCAAATATTTTTTTAACTTCACTTTTAATCCATTTCATGCACCAAAGAAGCATATTTTTGTTTAAATAAAATTGCACATCCTGCTTCAGAGGAGAATTGTGGTTTCTGAATGCTTCTAAGAAGTGCAAGTCATCTTGTTTTGAAGAACCCTCTCCTCTTCCCAGTGCTGGCTGTGTCTGAAGGAAGGGTGGATAAGTAGACCTGTGGCTGATGGATACATGTTGTCCAACCCTTACTTACAAGCATACAAGACCCATCTGAAATTTGGGGATACAATTTAATGCAACAGGAGAGGTGAACACGGGCCCTGTTGGGTTGTGCAAAGGAGGAAGTTGGCTGAGCTTCAGAATCAAACACAAACATGGCACTATTCTCACATTTTATCTAGAACAGCACAATGTCAAAGGGCAACATGGCACAGGCATGCACACCTTCTCTCAAGTTACTTCCAGTGGTTTCATTGCATTAGAGATGTTGTGTAGCTTTCTGTCTTCTGTTCTGTTTTTAAAACCACCTAAATCCCAGTCGATAGAAGGCAATATTAAATCTGCACAATCATTAAGCTAACCTTTCAAAATGATTGGTTAAACTGAGTTGTGCCTCTTATCCTCCATTTATAGCTACTTTTATCAACTTATATCATACTTCTTGGGCTACACAAACTCAAGACAGTATTTTGTTGGGGACTTCTACATACACAACTAACATTGTGCAAGCTCTTATACTACCTAGAATGATGTCTCTTAGGGTTGCACAACCAGTCACCCAACAAACACCAGACATTGTGCTTGTACTTACAATTCATTGTAATAAAAGCCCTTCGCATAAGGCAGAGTGATTTTTTAACCCATTACTCTGGTAGGCAAGGTGGAAATCCAGTGCGTACAGCAATCAGATTCGCCATTATCCACTGTATTAATTCTACTTCTCTTTAGCAAATAGCTCTTCATTTTAAAAACCAGGTGCCTTTAATACCTTGCTACTAGCTTGCTGATAGAATCATAGAAAAAATGTAGTTGGGAGGGTCCTATAAGGCTATCAAGTCCAATCATCTGTTCAATGCAGGGATCCACATCAAAGTACGTATACCTGAAACACAGCGGCCTAATTTTCTCTCGAATGCCTTCAGCCTGTTCAATGCAGGGATCCACATCAAAGTATACCTGAAACACAGCGGTCTAATTTTCTCTCGAATGCTTTCAGCATTGGAGCGCTCACCACTTCCTGAGATAATTGGTTCCATTATTATACCTCTCTAATTTTTTTTCCTTAAAATTCAACCAAAATCTGGCTTCCTGTAACCTTAGCCTATTATTATGTGTCCTGTACTCTGGGATGATAGAGAATAGGCCCTGCCCCTCCTCTGCATGGCAATCTTTCAAGTATTTGAAGAGGGCTATCATATCTCCCCATAATCTTCTTTTCTCAAGACTAGACATCCCCAGTTCTTCCAGTCTTTCCTCACAGCACTTGTACAACAGCCAATTATTTAGAGAAAATTATTAAAGAAGATATAATGGCTCCCTGAAGAGGAGCTGTGTGTGACTCACACGGACTGGCGTTTAGTCAGAACTGTTATCAATACATTGGTGTTCTGCCCCTGCAAGATGCCTGTCTTTTCTTGTTCTGTTGTGCTTCGCCTGTCGGTGTGTTTTGCCACTTGGAAAGCCCCCGAGAGGCCCCCTGCACTTATACACAAGATGGTCCATTCTCACAGTGGCGCCAGTCAATGGATACTTCCTTGACTGTCCATCTTGCCCCACTGGTGGAAACAGCATCCTGTTACTCACATGCACCTAACCCATCCCTGGAGCCTGGGGCAAACGGGAAAGGTTTCTGACCTTCCATTCCAAATCCGTATTACGAGCAATGCCTCTCTGCCCCCTCCCCAGTTTCAAATCTAGAGCAACCGAGTGGAAACTGGAAAGCAAACCTGCCAAATGGATTTATGCAGCCTCTGTCTTTGCAAAGTTAGGCGGCTTTCTGTGGGCATCTGGCAATAGTGAGGCCCAGGTCCCCACTTCCTACAAATGATCCCATAGTCCCCCTTATTCCCCAGTGCCTCTTTTATTCTAGCGCTCAGCAGGCTTCCTCGCCAATGCCAAAGCTCCCCGAAGTTGGGGAGGGGGGGAATCTCAGCTGCCATGGAACCTTTATGCAGCTCGAAAAGAATCCAGGGTGGGAAAAGAAACCCCGACAGGCACAGTTTTAGAGAACTAAAACAGAAGATTAAAAATAAAAGCCCAACACAATTAGATCCCATGTGGAGCTTTAGAAGGCAGGCTGCTCCCCCTGCTGGCTCTCTTAATGTCAGCCTATTACCATATCGCTACAAAAAGTCTGCGTGGACAGCGAGCGAGTGTGTTTGTGTGCACAGAACACACACACATACCCCATAAAAAGGAGGAACTGCAGGTGTAGAGAAGAAGCTGGGCGATGTCTGCACGGTAGTTTTGCTCATCTGTGTTTGGCCAACTGAGATGCAGCCAGATTGCAAACAGCAATAGTAGCAGAGGGTTCCACAGACTCCTTGCGTTCACGTTGTCACTCTTCCCTTCTGTTCTGAAGGGGTTCGTAAGAAGGCTGATGAACAGCAAAGCAGCCAGACTCTTTTCTTATCCTTTTCATTCATTTCTCCAGCACATGGAAAACAACAGCTGTGTTTCCATTCAGGCAACACGGCATGAGTGCAATTCTTACCCACCCAGGAGAGTCCAGCAGCAAAGCTGACAGTTCAAAAAAATAAAATATAAACCCAGCAAAGCAAGTCCCCCTCATGGACTTGCATATAAGGAATGACAAAAGAATGGGAACGAGGCCAAGAACAACGTTTAATTATACAGAATTTCCTGGTCTATCTAAAATGTCCTCTTCCATGTAGGCAAGCTTTTTCAGAAGTGCAGATGGTGAAGGATGATGACAGACTAGTCTATGGATATGACTGTACCCCACAGGTGGGCTCCTTCATTTGCTACTGGAATGCAGAAATGTGGGCCCTAAAACAAAAGCCATGTTCATGTTATCAAGCCTTCTACTAGAACCCCGAGCTCTTGTACTGAAAACAGCTACCACCGATTTCAGCTGGAATTCCAAGGGTTTACAATGGATGCTATTGTGGGAGTCCCAAAATTGTGTGAAGGTGACTAAATCCAGAATCCTACTGAGACGATTTTAAAATTGTGTGAAGGTGACTAAATCCAGAATGAGATGATATTGAGCAGACAGCATAATCAGGGAATGCATCATCTGCAGAGGCCTTCTTCTTGTACAAACAGTGTTTCTCGTTAACTTGCACCACCCACTATCAATTGCCTCGTTGCACAAGTGACATAGACATCAATATTACTCATGCTAAGGTGTGTCACGCAAGCAGTTTGACTGAATCGCATCCTGGCCTATGTTTTTATTGCATAATTGCCTGGCTTCATCCACTGATTCTTCTGAGATGCCCAAACTTCATCAATTTCTCTTTGCAACCATGTTCTTCCATGACTCTTTCCACCTTGTTTTCTTACCCAAGAAAATTAATTGTTGAGGGAAAGATGAACAGACTTTGATGAGGAGCACTGGGAGAGATCGGTTTGGAAGCATTGCAGATTGTGAGCTGCCAGTAGAATTCCAGACAAGCGCCAGGACCTGTGCACCAGGACCGAAGGCCTTGCTGGACTGCTTAATCTGGGTAAAGGATATGAAGATGAGCTCCCAGATGCTTTTGGATGAGGCTGCTGCTCACTGATTTTCCAGCCATAGGACACCACAAGGGTGTGCTAGATAATCTAAACAGCACATCTTCCATTATATGCACTTCCAAGATATTTAATCTCTTTTCCCTACACTGCAATAAAACAAATTTAAAACAAACTTGAGGGGAGAGAATGGGGAGCCCCTAAATGGTGCACTGGATGAGGCAATTAGGAAATATATCAAAGTGCACTGATGGAAAAGTTAGCAGGGTTGCTTCTGCTCCCACTTCCAAAGCAGTTTAGGGAGGAAGATTGGTATGAAACATGCCATGCTCAGTCTAGAGGAAAGAGATGGCCAGGAGGACTAAGGAAAAGAAGCACTAGGTCAGCATTTTTGAATCCCCCCCCCCGCTGTGTCCCCCAGGCAGGCTACTGCAGACAGCAGCTCTGCTCATTATTCAGGCTCCGCTGGGCTCACCTTTTGTATGTCTGTTGCTGTGAAGCTGCTGGATTCACTCTGAATTGAACTGTCACAGAGAATTACACAGGCTGGAGAGCTGAAGGCACAGCCCCAGGGATGAGAGCCATGTTACTCACCCTTGAGCTGGGAACTATCCTCAGGGGAGTTCAGTGCCTGCCAAGGCATAGCTCAAGTCTGTCTCTTCCAAACGGTCCAAATGGACAGAAGTTGAGCAAGGAGAGTAGGTCAGAGCTAGCCTCTGGTTTGGCTGAAATGCCTCATCCTAAACAGGAGATTGGCCGGGGGATTCTGGAGCACTGAAAACCAAAAAAAGTAATGTTTCCAAGCTCTATGACAGACAGGGTGGACATCAAACTGTGTCTGTGTCAGATACCTAG